AAATAAAGAAAAGGAAATTAGAAAGAAAAAGAATCGAAAAAGAGGTAATAAAACTAGGTAAATGAAGTAGAGAGTGTGATAACCCGATATTTACACATGTTTTTACCCCTCATTTCTTAATTGTTTAGCTTGGTGTTTATAACTTCTTTGGAAAATTTTATGCTAGTTTGTGTTCCTTTGTCACATTTCAAGTCCTAGCACATAAAGTGAAGCATAAGCAAAAGTTTCAAGTCTATCGGAGATCAATTGGCGACTCGGGGGAAGAAACTCTGGCATGACTTGAAGAAGAATGGATTTCTACCTCATTTTGTGACCAGAAAATCATGCAAGATTGTCATGAGAAGAAAGAGGATGAGACTACGAGCGTCTGGGATCAAACGACACCTGATTTGGAGTCTGAACGAGGGAGAAACGAAGAATCAAAGATAGGGGACCCGGAACTGTAAAATACCCGGTTAGTAGGGTCAAAATACCCTAGAAGGCACCCCGGTCGTGAACAAAAAATACCCGATCGGGTATTTCCCCATTTGCGTAGAAAAGTGACCCGGAGCATTTTGAAGATCCCCGGTCGTGAACCAAAAATACCCGACCGGGTAATATGACCAGGTGACTTCCAGAAGCGGGTATAAAAGCTTGTTTTGTGCGTTTTTGGAGAGAGAGAGCTGGGTTTTGGATCTCAAACACCCAAGGGACGAACCAAAGAGAGAGAAGGCGATTTGAGGGAATCTTGGAGTGGAATAAGAGGATTTCTTCGCCTTGGAAGCTCGAGGAACTAGCTTGGACTTGAAGACTGATCATCTGAAGATTCTTACTGCAGTCTCTCTCTTCTCTATGGAGTAACTTCACTTCACTTAGGTTTAGAGGACCTAGCCATGTTTGTTTGATGGGATGATTGTATATTTGTATGAGTACTCCTACTTGATAATCTTGAGTTCATATTCAATCTATGCATGTTTCATGATTCAATTGTGCTTTAGTCGAGATTATTGATTCTGCTTTGATCCTATGAGAGCGAATACCTAATGAGGTCAATAGAGCACCATAGATTGATAGTATTGGATCGATTGCTTTAGTCGAGGTTCGATTCACTGCTTTGTATCGATTGAGAACCTCATTCGATTGAGGGAAACTAGTTCAGAATGCTTGATCGGTTGTTCTAGAGAAGGATACGTCCCTCTAGGCAATTGACTCAAGAGGGCATTGTTCCTTTAGTCGAGACTCAAGGTCTATTCAAGGATTCTCTGCATTGTGAATGAAAGTGAAACAAGTTAGAGATCATTAATCTGGCTAGTGGCTAGGGGGAATCATACATAAGTGAGTTCCCAACTTGTAATTAGATTAACTCTAATTGTAGTTTGGTAGAGTAGTTTTAGTTCTTCCATTTTAATCTAGTTTGCTAGATAATGAACTGAAGCTGAGTAATAGTAACTCTAGAAACCCGTGGATTCGATATTTATTACTTGAGCTACTATATTGTAGTCCCTTTCATTGGTTACACTTGGTCATTGTTAGGAGTTGTGTTTTAGTGTGTCAGAGTGCCACAAAGATCAAAGTGTATGCTCTAGGAGGGGTTTCTTGGCATTCAAGCCATTGAAATAACCACATTGTTGTTGAACTCCTTCACTAACATGTTGAAATGTGATAGCAAAAGTAGATTGAGGAAGTGAGCTTAAATGTAGTTCATGATGGGTGATAGTTTGGAAGGGAGAAGTAAGGTTTTCAGCGGATGCTAGTGTCTATTGTTTGTAGGGAAGGTTCTTAGTTGAAACCATAGAACCTTCGGGTTTAGGGTGAAGATGTAGGACCTCATGTTATGTTTGTCACCACCCAAAAAGGCCTTTTCCCCATGTCCAAGACAATTTCCATTCATTTGAACCCGTGTCTAAGAACTCCGGACAAGCTAGTGATGACAACCGTCCCGTGAACTCTAGCATTTAGAGGTTGCCGCCGTGGTGAAGAGACGATAGGGCCGAGTGTTGATGATTGTGCACATTTTTTCACCAAAAGGTCCCAACCCCACTGGTCAAGAGAGTGAGTGATTCATTCTTGCTTTGTATGTCATATCATACCTCGGTGAGGACCTTTGTTGCCCATTCGTTTATTCCTTGGACTTGAATGTTATGCATGGTTAGTCATGGCTGATGAGTGATCTAGTTGAGACTTGCATTGATTCATGAACAAGGCGAGAACTTTTCTTTTGCCTGCTTTTGGTGACCTCGAATGTCGTTTGTGGTGGATGTCGGTTTTGCTTGCAACGGTCCATGTGTTAATTGTCATTAGCCATTGATATTCACCACTTTGTGCCCTTTGATTTGTCCCCAAAGTTGTTAGGTTGAGATATTACCTTGTGTGAAATGGTTTGCTTGAGGACAAAAAACATCTAAGTGTGGGGGAGTGATTCGGGCCTAATTGTACACTTTTATTCCCGTTTCTCTTTGGCTTTTGTTGCATTTTAGCTCCTAAAAGGGTCTATTTAAGCTAGGTTTCATGCGCTTCAATGTGTTTCAGAGTCCAACAGGTGAAACCAACCCTAGAGTCGAAAGTTGGAAGAAAAGGCGCAAAGACCTGACAAAGAGGAGGATCCAGCCGCAATTCACGGTCAGAGTTTGGAGTTCACGGTCGCCAAGACCGTGAAATGGAACCACAAACCATGAACGCAGAGCGTCCATAGGAGTTTCAGATGTTACTGACGTCGAGGCAGTTCATGGTCGTAAGACAGTGAACTGGAGCCATGGACCGTGAATGCCATAAGTGAAGCGGCACATTCTAATCTGTGTTCACGATCCCGACCTGATGTTCACAGCCGTGAAACTGGGATCGTGAACTGGGCGCAATCTGTGTATAAATTAAGAGCTGAAAGGAAGAAGAAGGGAGAGCCCAAATGTGAGAGAAACCTTCTACTTCTTGAGACCCTAGAGAGTGAAAGCACGAACCACGAGGGAGAAGAGGCTAGGGTTTGCTCCAAGTGAAGATTTTGGAAGTTCCTCTTCAAGAGAGGATCTCTACAAGCACAAGGGGAGTTGGATGCATCACAATGATGGTTTCTTTCATCTTCTTTTGTGTTCTTCCTTTGTCTAGCATGGAGTCGTTTCCATTTTCACTTGGGTGTTGTAGAACCCTAACTTTTACCATGTAATTGATTGTGTGATGGTGGTGTTTGATTTAAGAATTGAGGTATTTTTCATGGTGATTGTGCATTATGTGTGCGTGGCAATCTATTGTGCTATTCTAACGTAGCTTAGAGAGAAGCCCCCTTATCTTAAGAGGCCCAAATTGAGCTGGATTTTCTTAGGCATTTCATGCCTCCTGACTAGGTTAATGAAGGGCAAACCTCTAAACTTGAATTAGACACCTAGGTTAATTGTGATTATGCCATTCAAACCTTGGTTTGAGGGAGAAGGTAAGTCAACCCTCAATTGCTTGAGCTAAGAGGGCTACAACTGTAGCCTATAATGCTTTTCTTGGCCTAGCAATTGAGAGGATAGTTTCTAACCATTGTTGCACCTCCTATGGGTCACAATTGCCTTGTCACACTATGATTCATTCGATCCCATGGTTCATCGTAGTTAGTTAGGGGGAAACAACTCTCGAGTGAAGCTTCTCACCAAGAGTTTTCCACTCTTTTACTTTTCAAGTCTTGCTTTTAAATAGTAGATTGTAGAGATTTTAACAAACAACATTCAGCTAGATAATGTTTCAAACAATTGAAGTAGGGGTACATGAACCGGTCTGGGTTGATATTTAAACATACTTGTCCTATATTGCACCCATTTAAGGTTTATACTTGGGCCTTAGGTGAGATTTTATTGTGATATTCGGAGCAAATCAGCCTGCAATCATCCTTTTAGGGCTCAGGATGGAGAAGAATGCAACAGGCTTAGTCACTTGGGAGGGTAAGTAATTGATGAGGTACTCTGTTAAAAGAATATGAGATTCTTTTTGAGTTCACATACCTGTTGTACGTTGGTGGCATTGGCTTTGGAATAAATTCACTATCCCAAAGTACAGATTCTTGGCATGGTTAATCATATTGGATAAAGTTGTCACTTGTGATAAGCTAAAGATCTGGGGTAAAATAACTTATGATGCTTGCTTGGTGTGTATAATGGAAAGGAAAGTATAGATCACATCTTTTTAGAGTGTACCTATACTAAGTAGTTCTTAACTACGGTGTTTGGTAGTACCTTGCAGAACTGGTCTTTTATATAAGATGATATCCTGAGCATTGCTTGTGCTGAAGGAATAAAGGGAGGTAGTTTTGGCAGGGTGTTTGGATCCTAATTGTGCTGGTCAGTGAGCTTCCTCTGGAAGGATCGATCTAGTCGAGTAGGACCGAAAATAGATTGGCTGATATTGCTGGCTCGCTTCAAGGAAGAGTTGAGACTTTATACTTATGAGAATGTGGCATCTGGTTATATAGTATACCTCTACTTAGTCATTTACTTTGAGTTGTAAATTTTGATGTAATGACTTGTAGACTTTGGTATGGATTTTTCGAGGGGCTCAGTTAATTTGATCAAGCAAACTTCATCCAAAGGATAATTACTGATAATTTCCCCCAAATTTCGATATTGTATAATTCTATCAATGTCCATAGTGAGATATATAAATTGTAAGTCAAAGATAATTAAGAAAGGTACAATGATGGTGAGAATAATTTAAAAGCAATGCAACTTGATTCTAATTTATCAAATCATCATCATCTTGCAATATTTTATGCTAATCAAGTTATCGAAAATGCATTGGACAACTTTGTTCAACTAGGGTGAAAATGGAGGTAGTTGAGGACTTTTCTTGAGAGAAGTTGACATGACGAAAAATTGAAAGCAAAAAGTATAGTAATAAATTAATGTATCTTTCATGCAATTGGTCATTGAAAAACTGAAGAAATGGAAGTATGTCTAGGTTCTCTTCATAGACAAGCAGTGAATCCACCACTCCTCCCGAAAATTATATAATACTGAGAAAAATAATCAAAGAAATGGCAATTTCACTTTCATACACATCTCATTTCTCTTCTCTGAACCTTCTCCCTCTCTCTCCTACTAAAAAAAAAAAGAGAAAAGATCTCCTTGGACCTCCCGAGGAAGAAGAGAAACTGAGAGGGAAGATTAGAGAGGGAGTTGGCAAAGACCCAAGAACTTGAGTGCGAAAGAGCTCTCTCCAAGGCTTGCAAACATACCCTTCTCTTTTCATTTCTCTGTAAAATCTACCTTTAGTTTTTAGTTTCTTTATTTGTTCTGGGCTTTTTTTTCTTTCCCAGAAAATAAATACCCTTTTATACCCCATTCATTTCAAGAGACACAGTTGGTACGGTTTTAGTCCAAGTTCATTAAACCTCAAAAAGACTCAATTTTTTTGATTTTCTTGGATCCTTGAATGGTCGATTAGTTGGTCGTTGATCTTGACGCACTGGGGGGGAGAAGTCACTGATGGTATTGATTCACTTCCTTTCAGTGAAATGAATTTGGCCAATAGCTGTTGTTTGTGTTGTTATTTAGGTTGTTTGGTCCGAGCTTTGTTCATATTCTTTTCTGGTTGATTGTGTTTTATGCAGCCTGTAGCAGGCAAGGGAAGTGATGGAGACAAGAGGAATAAGAAGTTTTACAGTGGGCCACAAATTCGATGGGATGTAGAGAACAAACAGCTCTGGAATATTGATTGGGTAGCTGGTCAGTTGGATCTTGGTATCTTTATTTGATTAGTGCAGAAAGTTTACACGGTTGGACGCAGGTTTAGATCTTCTGGTAGTGCACAAGGTCGTTTCAATTTATTCAAATTGAGCAGCTAGCTAAACTTGGAACTGGAGAGCCAGTAGTTCAAGTTGCTTCATTTATACTAAAGAAAAGATTCCTGGGATCCTTTCGTGAGCATGTCCTGATCAGCGAAGTGAGAAACTTGGGTTGGGAGGATTTGCAATGTCGAGAGCATTATTAGCTCTAGGACTCTTGTTCATAGCATTATTCATTTCTTTGGCCTCCGCTGTCTCTGGCGCAGATAGTGACTTTGTGAATTGTAACTGTGACGATGAAGGAGGCGGGTTCTGGACTGTACACAGCATTCTTGAGTGCCAGAGAGTGAGTGATATCTTGATCTTTGTTGCTTATTTCTCGATTCCCATCGAACTCCTTTACTTTATCAGCTGCTCGAACTTCCCCTTCAAATGGGTCCTTGTCCAGTTCATAGCATTCATAGTCCTTTGTGGGTTGACTCATTTGCTCAATGCTTGGACTTATTACGGCCCGCACTCGTTCCAGTTGATGCTTTCCCTTACTGTTGCAAAGTTACTCACGGCTTTGGTCTCATGTGCCACTGCTATAACCCTCCTTACTTTGTTCCCTCTTCTTCTCAAATGGAAAGTGAGAGAGCTTTTCTTGAAGCAAAATGTCATGGAGTTGGACCAAGAGGTTGGGATGATGAAGAAAAAGAAGCTGGCGAGCCTCCACGTCAGAATGCTCACCAGGGAAATTAGGAAGTCCCTTGACAAGCACAATATACTGTACACCACTCTGGTTGAACTCTCCAAGACATTGGGTTTGTACAACTGTGCTGTATGGATGCCGAATGAGAAGAGAACTGAGATGAACCTAACCCATGAGTTGCAACCAAATTCTGACAGCCGTCATTTTTCCATCCCTATGAATGACCCAGATGTGCTAGAGATCAAAGCTACTAAGGGGGTTACCATTTTGAGGTCAGATTCTGGACTTGGGTCTGTAAGCAGTGGCGGTGGTACTGAGGCATCTGGCGCAGTGGCTGCAATCAGGATGCCGATGCTTCGAGTTTCAGATTTCAAAGGCGGTACTCCGGAGTTCATAGACACTTGTTATGCTATCCTGGTTTTGGTCCTTCCGAGTGCAGGTTCCTGGACCTACGAAGCAATGGAGATAGTGGAAGTGGTTGCTGATCAGGTAGCAGTGGCTTTATCCCATGCTGCAGTTCTCGAAGAGTCCCAGCTCATGAGGGAGCAGTTGAGTGAGCAGAACCGGGCGCTGCAACAAGCTAAGAAGAACGCGATGATGGCTAGCCAGGCAAGGAACTCATTTCAGAGGGTGATGAGTCATGGGATGAGGAGACCAATGCACTCGATTATCGGATTGCTCTCGATGATCCAGGATGATGAAAATATGAGCTTTGACCAGAAAATTGTTTCTGATACATTGATGAAAGCCAGTAACGTTCTTTCGACTTTGATTGGTGATGCGATGGAGATTTCGATAAAAGATACAGGGAGGTTCCCCCTAGAGATGAAGCCATTTCGGCTACACTCCATGGTCAAGGAAGCTGCTTGCCTTGCCAAGTGCTTGTGTGTATACAAGGGGTTTGGGTTTGAAATCGATGTTGAGAGTTCTTTGCCCGATTTAGTGATAGGGGATGAACGAAGGGCTTTCCAAGTAATTTTGCATATGTTCGGTTATCTTTTGGATCTGTATGATGGTAGGGGAACCATTGTATTTCGAGTTCTCTTGGAGAGTGGTAGCGGCGGAGGAAAGAATGATAGAATGTTGGGGATGTGGAAAGCAAATGCTCCTGATGAATATGCATCTATAAAGTATGAGATTGAGATTAGGGAGGAGAGTTCATCAATGACGGATGGGCCGATGTCAGCTGCTGCACAGAGGAGGCAGGCCGGTCCTGAGATTAAGGAAGGTCTTAGGTTCAGCATGTGCAAGAAGTTAGTTCAGGTCAGTCTGTTTGTCTCCCTATATCTGAATAATTCATTATGTCTATGTGCACGCATGAACCATAAATGGTTAGGGTATAGTAACATATTTGCTCTATATTTGGCACCTGAAGTGTGAGGATAAATCTGAAATACACAACCTCTGAAGTTCTGAAATCCATAATTTATTTGCTTTACTGGTTTCTGATCATAATACTGCGTTATATAGATTATGCATCTTTGCCCGTTTCAGTCTTCCTTGTGATGTGTATTGGCACAAAATAATTCTTACTACATATTTGACAGCTTTATTATCGAAGGATTTAGATTATCTGAGGATCATGATCTTACATCATGTTGTATGAGTTACAAATACAACTACGAGTTGCTTGTGCTCAAGTAACTTGGTTTTAGATTTTGTAATTCTTTTTATATGCAAGTCTAGTCTACCTTGACGTTGCTATAGCTGGAATCTGGTTGCTGAGCTTGCATTTTTGTTTGCTTTTTTCGGGTTTACTGAGATATGTCACTAAATCTGCAGATGATGCAAGGGAACATATGGGTAGCTCCAAATGCCTTTGGGTTTGTACGAAGCATGAACCTTGTCCTCCGGTTCCAAACTAGACCATTATCTATTGGAAGGTCATCTGCTTTCATTACCTCTTCAGAACAACAGCCAACTACACCTCAACAGTTCAAAGGCCTCAAGATTGTGCTAGCCGACGATGACAACGTGAATCGAACTGTAACCAAGAAGTTGCTGGAGAAACTTGGATGCGAAGTCACTGCTGTTGCTTCAGGGTTCGAATGCCTAAGCACTCTGAGCTCCGAGAACTCCGTTAGGGTAGTCATTCTGGATCTCCAAATGCCTGAAATGGACGGCTTTGAAGTTGCCTCGAGGATTAGGAAGTTCCGGAGCCGGAACTGGCCATTCATTATAGCCCTGACGGCTAGTGCGGAGGATAATATATGGGAGAGGTGCCTGCAGTTGGGGATGAATGGCGTGATACGAAAACCCGTCCTTTTACAAGGAATGGCTGAAGAACTTCGAAGGGTTCTTCAGGTAGCTGGGTAGACCAGAAGGGGAGGAGATATCCAATTATTCAATATGAATATACAGACATGATTCATGGCATTGAACAGTTTATAAAGATCCGTGGCCGCCGGTGGCCACGTTGAAATGTAACGTTTCAGCACGCAGATGGTATAGATATTAGACACTAGACAGTGTACTTTTTCCCTTCCGGGCTACCCATTTTCCTGTCTAGAGGTTCTATCAAAAAGGAATTGTGACTCAACATTTAGGCACTGTTTACTGATCAGAATACCAAGGACTTTACGAAGTAAACAGACACTTTTTTCTCCACTGTGTTTCTTGCTGGTAGGGCTTTTCAATCAAACCTGATATTTTGGTGATCGAGTTAGCTTGATTTGGTTAAAATTAAGTTCCTTTGATTTAGGTGATCTAGTTTGGTTGTAACGTTTGCTAACAGGCTATCATTTTCAGCAATTTTTTTTTTTTTTTTTTGGTGTGATCATTATCACCATTTAACCGGTTACTTATCAGCGTTACCATTTCTAGCCCTAAAAATTCTTCATTTGTAGCAGTAAAATATGAAAATTGCACTATTGCTCTTTTTTTTTCTAGCCCTAAAAATTCTTCATTTGTAGCAATAAAATATGAAAATTGCACTATTGCTCATAAAAAAGAGTCTTTCACGCATGTGAAATCAGTTTATTCCAAATGGAAAGAAATACAAAATGCAGACTCATGTGAGCTCTATGTTCCTGTGAATTGGAAGCAAATCTGACATGTAAATGTACTGAGTATCCTTTAAAAAAGAACCCCTAAAGTACAAGTCTTTGTATGGTGATGGATCCATAATATCCTACCTACTGGGGGAACCTAGTGGATAGAAGTAAGAGGGGATGCGCAGAGTGTCCTATCTGTGTAGTGAAAGAATCAAAACCCCACATCTTCCTCGATTGTGGATGGGTGAGCAGAGTCTGGCAACCATCTTTGATTCATCGTTTATTCAGACAAGGAGAACTATGTACCTGCAAGGAGTTGTGCTGCGAGATCAAGGCTAGCAAAGGAAACGAGATGGTTGAACCGCGTTTCCTTAGATATTACTTAGATATCCTGATCCAGATTTCACCATAAAATTGATGGACCTGAAAATCGTTTAAAATGGTGACTTTTTTGGAGTGTTTAAAATCGGGATATTTTCCTATTAAAAACATTTAAAAATAAAAAATAACCAAATTAGGGCTCGGACGATGCCTTTCCCTTTAGTCCGTTTTATCAGATTGAGATGGACGCGAACAGTGAAAATTGCCTAGTGTACGACATACATCAGATTTTACCTGATGTACAATAGAACCATCCATATATATATTGGTCTCATATTTATGTTGGTCGTTGAGATGGACGCGAACAGTAAAAATAAATTGCCTAGTGTACGACATACACCAGATTTTACTTGTGTAAAATAGAACCATCCATATATATATTGTGAAAATAGGAAGTACCATGGCAACACCCATTGCCATTAGCGGGAATGAAAAACGGTGAGACCGTGAGAAGTACAATATCAACTCAATAAGCCAAGAACAAAGAGCTATGACTAGATAGACCAGAATAAACTCTACCTTCTGCACTACCGCAAACAATTGCAACATCCTTTTTTAGTTGCTTCAAAACTTCATCACCACTGCCAACTACTTCCTCCGAACTTCAAAGTACATCTGTCTCTCCAGATACTGCTAATCAGTGCGCTCCATATTAGTCTCCCAATGTTTTTTATACTTTTGAAGCTCCTGAGAATTGATAAACTTGCCTTTTGGAGATGTTTCGAGAATTCTAACGGCCGGGACATAACCTAGCTCCGTCCCTGCGCTGTGCTGCAGCAACGCCAACAACCAACATCACATGTTGCGCAGCCAAAGCAATCGCCACAGCGGCGGCATGGTCGGCCCTTTCGCTACGAATTTGAACGGCCGCTAATATAGCTACGAGTACTGCTACCACTATCAACACGATCTTCATTATTCTTATTCTTTTTTTTTTGTCTGGGGATTTTGATCTTCTTCTGGTGCTGCTTCGTTTATGTAGGGGTCATTGGATTTGGATCCATTTAGTAACCCTGGATCCAGTGCCAATGCTACCCTACCTCTTAGCATTACCTTTAATTCTCCATTAACTTAATTAGGCGTTCTACATTTAATATACTACTTTTGTTGACTTTTTGTTTTATTTTGATCAGAATGGTATTTATTAATTTTTTAATGGTGATAAATAAACTGATAATAATTTTATTAGTTAAATATATGGGAAATTGAACCCCATTACACAAACAGCACAACACCAATGACAAATTGAACTCGTCCCACAGAGTGTTACTATTATCCGACCTGATTCGCAATTGGACGGGTATTACCACACCCGCTATAGCGTGGGGCGGGACAGGGCATGAGTATATACTTTCGACTCGTCCTGCTCCATGTCGTCCCGTTTTTTGCCTATTCTATCTCGATTTCCTATAATATTTTTTATACTTTGTCTTTTCTTCAACTAATTAGAATAAATTACTCATTCTATTATCACTATTATTCATTCATAAAGTGTTTTTCCTTTGTTTTATCATAAAAAGAAAAATTTACATGTATTTTTTTCACATAAAATGTAAAAGTGAGTTGCCCTACCCTGTACCCGTGCAGATATTATCCGCCCCGATTCGCGTTTGGTGCGAGAAGAGTATGGGTATTGTGATACATGTCCCCGCCCCGCTCTTTTGCCATCAATCCCCATCATATCAGCAGGGGGAAACAGAGTAAGGGCAGTGCATTGGCAAAAACAAATTTTGGCCCTCTTGCTATGGTATTCAAATCTAGGAGATTTGTTATATTTGGAAACACCTATCAAACTAGCTTCGATGTAACCCGAGGATTCTCGGGCAACGAAACTCCGTTATTTCCCAGAAAACAACAACAGTTCCTTCTCAACCTATTTGCTAAAACATTATGTTGCATGAGAAATCCTACTCCTACTAGAAGAAGACAATAGTTAGTATGTGATATAAGATTCATTATTAGATCTCTTCCAACAATTTGAGTTAGCAACACCAATTGGTTCTTGACATGAAATGAAAACTTTTGTGTCTTTTGTACAAATACTGGTATTCCCCATGGGTAAGCACATGATGCGTGTTAAAATGTAATATAAGATTTATGATTGAATTTCTTCCAATAACTTGTTATTATGACCAACTAGTTCTTGACAACAACGCACAATGAAATACAAGTTGGACTCTGATTGGGCCTATGACGACTCTCCGAGGCCCAATATGTCTATAGTTTCTTTAATTTCCATATTCTTTGAATTTTTGAATTTTTGTATGATGCCAAAATTTGAATTTTTTTGTGTGCACAAGATTAATAGACTCGTAAGGATTGAGTTAATTCAACGATTCGGTAAGGCAAAACAAATTTCAAATACAATTTAATTACGTTATTTTTTGGTGAAAGAGTATAATAAATTAATTATTTAAAAAATAATTATATTATTTTTTTATTGGTTAACTTTTATATAAGACTTTAGGCAAATGCAACATATATTTGTTAACGATGCTGAAATAACAGTAAACGGACGACACACAGATTTAATGTGGTATCCCTGGAATACCAGGATTAATCTACGGAAGAGTTGTCCTCTTCAAGCTGCCGAAATCACTATGATTTTCACAGTTCGTACACCCCTCATATGCATACACGAGATATATACATATCTCTAGCCAACTAGGGTTTGACTCTCCCTCCCTCCTACGTGCATGGGCCGCATTGCCCAATAAATGGGCTCGCACTCTAATGGGCCAACTACAATACACATATATAAGCTACAAATGTGAACTGAAATACGAATACACAAACAGTCTTCCCCAAATTGATGCGGATCTCGGTGCATCAATTTGCTAGCAAGGTACCAATGACGGCTCATAGAAAACGACTTAGTGAGCAAGCTTGCAACCTATTCCTCAGACCGAATGTAATGGACGACCACTGTGCCATCTCGAACCATGTCACGAACATAGTGCGCTACAATCTCGATGTGTTTGGTGCGATCATGGAGTACAAGATTCACATAAATCCGGATCGCACTAGTGTTATCCACGAACAAGTACATCGGAACAGAACATATCACGCCCATATCTCCCAATAGACGACGAAACTAGACCAGATCAGAAACCACATCAGACATCGCCCGATATTTCGCCTCTGTAGACAACTTTGAAACTTTATCATGCTTCTTACATCTCCAAGATATGAAGGTGCCACCAAACCATACGCACCATCCCGTAGTAGAGCGTCGAGTATCAATGCACCCTGCAAAATCAAAATCCGAATATGCACTCAAGGAACCCGAACCATCACAAGGAAACCATAATCCAACATCATGAGTTTCTTGCAAATAGCGCAGGATACGATGCACGACAGACAAATGATCTACACATGGATCAGTCATAAACTGGCTCACAAGCTGCACTATATAGGAAATATCTGTACGGGTCATAGAGAGGTAGATGAGACTACCAACGATACTCGATACTGAGATCCATGAGGAAAATTTGCTTCAGAATCCTTATTGAGCTTCAGATTGAGCTCCATAGGTGTAGACACTGGGCGACAATCCTCAAAATTATGCTCCCTAAGCAAATCTGAAATGTATTTACGTTGACTGAGTAGAATTTCCTTCGAGCTGTGTGAGACTTCCAAACCAAGGAAGTAAGAGAGATCGCCCAAATCCTTAAGATAGAAGGAGTTCTGAAGTCCGCGTTAATGTGGCGGATCCCCTCTGTGTCATCACCTGTGATCACCATATCATCGACATAAAGCAAGAGCATCACAATACCGACTGTTGATTTCTTCACAAATAAGGATGAATCATTAAGGCTCTGCTGAAAACCAAGATGGAGGATGGTTGATTGAAATTTCTCAAATCACGCACGAGGTGCCTATTTGAGTCCATAGAGAGATCGATGCAAGAGACAAACCTGATCGGAGGTACCTAACGTGCAACCGGGTGGCCACTCCATATAAACCACTTCCTCTAGATCACCATGGAGGAAGGCATTCTTGACGGTAGATGGAAAAAAGGCCAGTTCTTAGAAGCCGCAGCTGCTATCAAGGTGCGAACTGTGGACATCTTAGCGACAGGAGCAAAGGTTTCATTATAGTCCACCACGTGCTCCTATGTATAACCCAACGCCACAAGTCGAGCTTTGTAGTGATCTATAGATCCATCATGAAGCATCTTGAGTGTGTAAACCCAACGACAACCGAGGACAGGAACGGAAGGTGGGGGACGAGGCACAAGTGACCAAGTCCGGTTGGCATGAAGTGCATCAACTTCGGTTTGCATTGCCCCTTCAC